AAGAAGAGAGAAATCCGCAATGCTCTCTGCTTGCTCCGCCTTACGGCGGACATGGATTCTGCCGAGTCTACAACGGTCAACATCCTCGCTACCGAGCCATACGTTTTCTTCCGTTGTTGTTAAAAGCATCGCTTGTAACTTTAACAATGGAATACCAGTCATTTCTGCTGACCTAGGTTTCTCCAGTTATCAGAAGACAACTCACGGAGTTTGTCAGGCTTTGCCTGGTTTCACCGCTGTTACAGGCTCGCGGCATTCATTGACTTTACTTTTTATAAGAACTACTACTACAACTATTATATTATCAACAATGTCAATACCAAGGTGGCGAACTCGAGAATGCACCATCAACTGCTCGAGATATTGGAACCTGACAAGGCCTGTATATTATTTAAAGATTCTGTGCTCAGTCATCGGGCATCATACACAGTCTTCGAGTGTGCTCGGCACGCTCTCATGCTGCCTGAGAATCTTCATCATCGCACGATGTCTCACCCTGCTGATGTCCCGGCTCCGCCTAAGGGTCAGCGCTCTCGTCTTGCGCTTAACTCGCCTGCTTCCACGGGAGTTGATAGCTCCATCGGCATTCAAGCTCTTGCAACCAATGACAAGGACAAGACTGCTTCGTCAGCTGCTGGCAAATCTGGGTTATCTGCTGCTGACAAGGCCACTACTCCCTCGGTGGAACTTACCGTTGATGACGGCTTCATCGACGATGACTCCGATGACGAGATGGTCACTGACCTGGTTAAGGAAGCTGGCTCTGGTTTGCGCTCGGTCGCCATCTTGTTGATCCCTTTTATGCTGCATAAGGAAATTTCCTATGTGATTGATGCTGTCACGGCACTGATAAAACACGGGTGGTACATAGAGTAATCAGCTGACGCTGCGACAACGACCAAGTTTCAGCAGCATCATACGGCTTATATTGCCAAGACGCGATTCTGTCGCGTGCAATTTTCATTTGGCAAGGAATCTGATGCGGAATGGGTGCGGAAGAAGGAAGTCATCTATCAGCCTCTCAACAATCAGGCTCAACTCATTACGCTTCATTGGCAACATACCGAGGATTCATTTTTTGCGCGCGAGAAGGCATTGAATCCGCAAGCTATCGAGTTCATGATCATGGATGTTTCTGCTGCTGTCGAGCTGACCCTGATTCACGACCATATGGCTACTAACCTGCTCACAAATACTCGGCGATTGGCATGAATTTGCAAGTGGGGGAGCGTCTTGCATTCCTCATCGGGAAACCAGCCTGTCCTTACTGCAGGGGAGAGGAGATTTTGGACCTCTACCTTCTTCTCTGCCCTCGGATCCAGACGATCACTTCGGCCCTTAGGCGCACTTTGCGCATGCTAAATCCCAACCATCCGACAGACACGTTAGGAGACCTAATGTTCCGGAAAACGGGGTCCAGCTCAGCATTTCTAGAGCTGGCCCTCGCATCCATCGCATTCCATCAGCCGTGGGTTGAAAGGTGCGAAGCTGTTTTCCGTGGCCAGAAGTTTCGCAGGAATCGAGTGCTTCACAAGATTGAGTTCGCATTCAGGCAACATGCACGAATCTACACCCGCATGTTTGGCACGGTTCGCCACAAAAGGCATCGGAGAAATTTTACGGAGGAGCAGAACATGTTGGGAAAGATCAAGATGGTTGGCAAGAGTTGGAAGTGGACAGGTGTGTTTGCTGCACTGTGGTCCAGGAAGAGGGCAAGCACTTCCCGCGTTTAGATACCTTATCTGGAATAGTAGCTCACCCTCTGTTCCTCACGTGCGGTTACGACCGTTATGATGGTACATGCTTGCTCATCTCGGTGTATACTCTTCATATATTCAGAAAAATGTATATCTATATAAATATATATATATATACATCACAAAAACCCTATGCCAAGTTTGGTCGAATTTTGATTTCGATTGTCTTCGCGTAAAAAAATCCGTAGCCAATTTGGACCGACGGTTGGAGTCATTTGATAGGAGCTCCGAGACACATCTCGCGACAAGGCTTGGCTCGGTTCAAGTTCCAATTTGGCACGCGAGCTTTTCCGGATGACATTCCGACGCAATCCGTTTTGTTGCAAATTCGTGACCAATTTATTCAATACTAAATTCTGTTTTTGTTCATTTTGGATTTTGGGGATTTCAAAATTGCATTTATTATTGCGGTTTACAAGAACCATTATTCAGCATGCTAGCAACAATCAGTCTTAGCACCAGGTCAAATAGCCTACGCATTGGCGGGCCTTGAAAGCGCCCGGTGGGCAAGGACGACATCTCCAAGGTCGCCGTCGTCGATGAGGAACTTGTTCGGAAAGACGAACGCACCCATAGCCGGATCGTGGGGGATCCTCCGCTCCACGACAGCAAAATGGATCATCTGTTTGACCTTTTCGCACCACTCCTGGTAGTCTGGCCTGTTCTGCTCTGGCTGGCTACTGATTCGCTTGCGACGCTTATCCTGCAGAAGGGGCCATTCGATCTGCAATGTGGTGTAGTAGGGTTGGGTGGGTGGTTTATGAGGAGGGTAGGTTACGGGTAAATGAGGCAACTGAAAGCGGTGATGCAGTCGTCACTATCTACGTAACTGCAAAGGCCTAATCGACGAGGGATTAGGGTTGAAGTACAGGCAAGGGGTTAAGGGGATGAGGCATGGGGGTACAAACGCATATCTACATCCTTACCGAAAACAGGCCCCATGCCACCATGCGGCTCTTGAACTTGGTGAACACCGCCCCGCCCCTCTTGAAGGAGATCTTGAACGCATAAGCGAACAAGGGGTTGCTGAAGGGCGTCCCGGTGGCCTTGTCAAAGTGCCAGTTGAGGGCCCACTGTTCTGTTTTTTGGCAGGGAGGGTATGGGTTGGAAAGGGTTTTGTAGAGAAATCAAGTGGGGGGATGAGTGTCAGGGTGAGCCACATCGCACGGTGATATGTAGCTGCCAACTGGCATATGGTAGGGCATATTGTGTTTTCGAGTTGCACATACCATCTCTGTACTCGGCTAGGAGTTGAACGTCATCGAACCAGGTCGTTGGGTGTAGCTCAGTGGGCAGGCTATCCACGAGATGGCTGTAATCAGCAAGGCCCATGCCGGTGTATGTTGCTGGCCTGAGGGTGGAGTTGATAGTTGACCTTGTTGAGGACAGCTGGTGGTTGAAGACTCCCATGGTTGACTTGTCATTGTGCAACCACAGCAGCTTCATTGCCTCGAGCCCTTCTGCATACAAGTGGACAGAGAACGCTTCGAACACTTCCTCCGGTGCAGGGTAGTACTGTATTTTCTCCGGCGGGTTCAGAAACATGAGCTGAGAGCACACTAAGTAGGCTTTGTTCTGCGCAGTGGTGTAAGGTATACAACACGACATGGGAGAGAGAAACCAGCAGTTATGTGGGTGGCCGCGTGACCATGGGATTGTGACTAGCAACACTGTGTGAACTTGCCACGTCACACCCTGCGCCATCCGACACGTCCACCAACAACCCGGCCCATTCTGCCACGTCACACCCACCTGCATCCCCAACCCTCACCTTCCGCCACGTCAGACCCTCCATCATCCGCCACGTCCACCAACCAGCCCCACGTGCCACATCACACCCTCCTGCATCCGCCACGTCCACCAACAACCAGCCCCACGTGCCACGTCACACCCTCCCATCCCATGCCACGTCACCCCCCCACCCACCTGACACGCGTCGCCTCGTCAGTGGCCGCTCCTGTGTACCATTCCGAACCGCCACGTCAGCCCCAACCCTCACATGCTGCCACGTCACACCCTTTTGCATCCGCCAACAACCCGCCCTACTTGCCACGTCACACCCCCACCAAGAGCGACGTCACCCCCCACCCACCTGAAACGCCTCGCTTCGTCATGCGCCGCTCACGTGTACCCTTGTAGGGTGCCACGTCATCCCCAACCCTCACCTTCCCCCACGTCACACCCACCTGCATCCGCCACGTCACACCCTCCTGCATCCGCCACGTCCACCAACCAGCCCCACGTGCCACGTCACACCCTCCTGCATCCGCCACGTCTACCAACAACCAGCCCCACGTGCCACGTCACACCCTCCCATCCCATGCCACGTCACCCCCCCACCCACCTGACACGCGTCGCCTCGTCAGTGGCCGCTCCTGTGTACCATTCCAAACCGCCACGTCAGGCCCAACCCTCACATGCCGCCACGCCACACCCTTTTGCATCCGCCAACAACCCGCCCTACTTGCCACGTCACACCCCCACCAAGAGCGACGTCAACCCCCACCCACCTGAAACGCCTCGCTTTGTCATGCGCCGCTCACGTGTACCCTTGTAGGGTGCCACGTCATCCCCAACCCTCACCTTCCCCCACGTCACACCCACCTGCATCCGCCACGTCATCCCCAACCCTCACCTTCCGCCACGTCACACCCTCCTGCATCCGCCACGTCCACCAACCAGCCCCACGTGCCACGTCACACCCTCCTGCATCCGCCACGTCCACCAACAACCAGCCCCACGTGCCACGTCACACCCTCCCACCCCATGCCACGTCACCCCCCACCCACCTCTCACGCGTCGCCTCGTTACGCGCGGCTCCTGTGTACCATTCCAAACCACCACGACAGCCCCAACCCTCCCATTCTGCCACGCCACACCCTTTTGCATCTGCCAACAACCCGCCCTACTTGCCACGTCACACCCCCCACCAAGAGCCACGTCACACCCCCCACCAAGAGCCACGTCACCCCCCACCCACCTGAAACGCCTCGCTCCGTCATGCGGCACTCCCTTGCACCCTTTCACACCGCCACGTCATATCCCAACCCTCACCTTTTGCCATGTCACACGCACTTGCATCCGCCACGTTCACCAACAACCCGCCCCACTTGCCACGTCACACCCACCCACCCCATGCCACGTCACCCCCCACCCACCTGATACGCGTCGCCTCGTCACGCGCCGCTCCCGTGTTCCCTTCGAGCCCGCCACGTCAGCCCCAACCCCGCCCTTGTTGCCACGTCAACCCCAACCCGCCCCATTTGGCCCGCCACATATCGGGAATGGGTTTGTCTCCTGCAACACTAGCACTCGTGCCTTGTCCACGGCGCTCATCGGCGGCGGGGTACCAGCCATAGGCAGGGCTGCCGACCCGCCGACATAGCTGGCAGGTACTCCACGACGCAGGCCGAGCTGTGCAAACATGGCGTACATCTCAGACCGCAGCGCCTGGAACTCCTCCCGTGTAACAAACTGCTCGTGCTCCTCACTTTCACCTAGGGCACCCATGAGCGGAGGAAAAGGGTGTGAAGAATCCCCCCTCTGGCCAAGGGTATCAACGTCTTCTGCAGCAGTCCCGTGTGCCCTCACACTATCACGCTGGCGGGAAAAGGGGAGCTCAGGGAAGGGATTGGCATAAGTGCCTGCCTGATGCCCGCGCGAAGGACCGGCGATGGGGGAGACCGCCCTGCCCCGGACAGGAGAAGCGTGGAGTTGCCGAAATGGGTACGAGGGTGAGGCGAGTGAGGAGTGCGTGACGGGGACGGGTGGAGGGGATTCGGATTCCTCTCCTCTTGGCGCGCCGGGTGCCGTCGCAGCGACTTTGCTGGGGCCGGCCCATGGCGTGTAGAACCTTGGTGCGCCGGACGAGAGCGGTGTAACACTCGCTCTTCCGGCAGCCTTCGTTAGATGCATTCGTTGCACGCTTACGGGCGGCCCAATGCCTGTAACGCGAGGGGCTGAGATGTAGAGGGAGTGGGAAAATAAAAATTAGAGTCGATCGGTTTCAAGGCGGGGCCAGACATGCATGCATATTCAGAAAGGTTTGAATCTAGATCGGGTTTAGGGTTGTACTGGTTTAAGACAAGAGGGTTTACCTTGCTTGGCAGATTCGTCGACCTTCTCCTTCCCTGCAGGAGAGAAACAATGTGAATAAAGGGTGTTATTTGGGACGGTTTAGCAGATTGTTTTAACACGTCACGCCAGTTGTATTGGACACAATGCTCACCTTTCTGTTGTCCCTTCGGTTTTGGGGCAGCCTGCGCCTTCTCGTTGCCACCTTTCCGCGGGGTGCTTCGGCGCACGCTGCGACGTTTACCGGCAGGTTCCTTCTTGCCGGTACCCACTCGAACCCCTTTGGCGCGGCCACCCTTTCCTCCTCCATCCCCTTTTGCACTCTGGCTCCCTTGCTTTTTACCAACCCCTTCACTTTCGACCTTCACCTTACGCACCTTCGGTTTGCCCGCTGCTTCGCCGCGCGCAGCGTCACCTGCCCCGCGTTTTCGGGAAGGGCGAGTCCGGCCCCCCTCCTTCCCTGTCCCACTCACCCGACCGCCACGCCCGCCCCGTCTCTTCCCTGGCGCCACATCCTCCTCCTCCTCCTCCTCCTCCTCCTCCTCCTCCTCCTCCTCCTCCTCCTCCTCCTCCTCCTCCTCCTCCTTCTCTGATGCCTCCTCCTCCTCCTCCTCCTCCTCCTCCTCCTCCTCCTCCTCCTCCTCCTCCTCCTCCTCCTCCTCGTCACCCTGCTCCTCCTCCTCATCCCCCTCCTCCTCCTCCTCCTCCTCCTCCTCCTCCTCCTCCTCCTCCTCCTCCTCCTCCTCCTCCTCCTCCTCCTCCTCCTCCTCTTCGTCCTCCCCACCATCATTCTCATCTTTAGCATCCTCCCCAACATCCGCGTCTTGCTCCTCCGCTTCCTCTTCATCCTCCTCTCCCTCCGCATCCTCCTCCTCATCCTCCTCCTCCTCCGTATCACCGGGGTCTTCATCGCCCCGTTTCGGCCTCGTTCTTGTCGCTGCTTTCTTGCCTCTCCTTCCGCCAGATGCTTTTCTTGCTGCGGGGCGGCCCTTCTGGCGCAATGCTTGACCGCCCGCCTTGCCACTAGCTTCCTTGGCGCCTCGCGGTGTGTCAACTTCCGCGCCTCCGGCGTTGTCAGCACTACCTGTCGTCTGGCGCCTCTTCGCCCGCGTGGTGAGGTCCCCGGGCACGGCGGTGTCATCATCCTCCTCCCCATCGCTCTTCCTTTGCCTACGCCTTCCCCGTCCACCAGAAGGAGGAGAGCCACCGACCAGCCCCACCGACTCGTGTTGTGCCACCTTGTCCTTATCCAGCACGGCTGCAGAAACTTCGACCACGCTCGGCTGGAGCAGCGTCAGATGGTGTTGCGTTGCCGCCTCCTCGGACTCCTTGGTTGCGGCATGCTCGGCGCGAGGATCGCCTCCGTGATTTCCCCCTGTCGCCGAACCCTCCATCTCCGCCGACGGGAGTGCAAGACTCGCGCTCCCTCGCCCCGGATCTTCGTTGCCGCCAGTGGTGCCGTCTTTACTCGGACCGGGCTCGGTTCCAGCAGAGGCACCATCCGCAGCTTTGTTCACTGTAGAAACACGCTTGCGTGGCGTTGGTTTAGGCCCCTTGTCTGCCGCTTTCTTGCCGGCCTCCTGTTGACCGCGCGCGACCTTTTTTGCCGCCGCTTTTTTCGGCCCAATGCCACGAGCGACGGACGCATTGTTTTTTTTAGCGCCGCCACCACTCTCCCTATCGATTTGTTTAGACGTCCCCCTTGTCGCGCGGCGGCCGGCCTGTTCCTCCTCCATTGCTTGGTTACGTGTTGCACGTGTCATGGTAATCGTAGGAAGAGCAAAGTTGCAAATCGCGCGGAAGGGTTGAGCCGGTTTCGAAAGGGTTTTGCTACTGAATCCCACGAAGGCATAATCGGCCGTCTATCACTGTTATGTGTTTACGAAAACAGCCGCTTCAACTAAGTCTGAAATAGTAGCCACTATGCTTCGCGCTAAGGCCGATCTGGAGAGGCGTGTGTCAAGGCAACGAGCAGCGTCAAAGTGTTGGCCCAGGGAGTGACGGAAGCAGGTGGGTGGGGCACGAGGGTGGTTGGGGTGAGTTGCGAGACTAGAGAGAGAAATGTAACCCTATCATGCTACATTGGACGGTGTACGTGTAGCCACCCTAGCATAAACCCACCTTCCGCTCGATCTCAGCCGCCCAATGGCTGAAGTACCTCTTGGCTGATGACTGTGTTGCTGGGGGAATCGTTTGAGATGCGTCGGCCAATGACGGTTGCCAACGCATCAATCACAACAAAGGGTAAACCTGGTGTGAAACCTACAGTGCGAAATTAGTCAAATCCCTGCAAAGTAGAGTGTTTTCGGTTGCAAAGTAACAACGCATTTCATCAAACTCTAAGTTGCAACTGGTTTTGTACGGGGTTGGGGTAAGTTAATCGGTGATTCTCACGTCACACACACAACGACCGTCTTGAATTATTACTTAGGAAAGATGTACTGCGCACTTTTAGGCTTTGCCACAATGGTTTAGGGCCAGCGGACGTCATTCTAACACGATTATCAATAATAACAAACGTGAATCCGTTGTGGTATGGTGTTGGATTGTCATCCATTCTTGCACAGACATTACACAAGGTGCTTAGAAGGCGTGGTATGAAGCACAGGCCCAACGCACAAGCGTAGATGCGTTATCGACAGCCATGTTTAGACTGCTTCACGATGCATCGTTCTGGCCTCCGCGTTGCGCGACTTGGTGAATCCGTTGTGGTATGGTGTTGGATTGTCATCCATTCTTGCACAGACATTACACAAGGTGCTTAGAAGGAGTGGTATGAAGCACAGGCCCAACGCACAAGCGTAGATGCGTTATCGACAGTCATGTTTAGACTGTGCGACGATGCATCGTTCAGGCCTCCGCGTTGCGCGACTTGGTGAATCCGTTGTGGTATGGTGTTGGATTGTCATCCATTCTTGCACAGACATTACACAAGGTGCTTAGAAGGAGTGGTATGAAGCGCAGGCCCAACGCACAAGCGTAGATGCGTTACCGACAGTCATGTTTAGACTGTACGACGATGCATCGTTCAGGCCTCCGCGTTGCGCGACTTGGTGAATCCGTTGTGGTATGGTGTTGGATTGTCATCCATTCTTGCACAGACATTACACAAGGTGCTTAGAAGGAGTGGTATGAAGCGCAGGCCCAACGCACAAGCGTAGATGCGTTACCGACAGTCATGTTTAGACTGTGCGACGATGCATCGTTCAGGCCTCCGCGTTGCGCGACTTGGTGAATCCGTTGTGGTATGGTGTTGGATTGTCATCCATTCTTGCACAGACATTACACAAGGTGCTTAGAAGGAGTGGTATGAAGCGCAGGCCCAACGCACAAGCGTAGATGCGTTACCGACAGTCATGTTTAGACTGTGCGACGATGCATCGTTCAGGCCTCCGCGTTGCGCGACTTGGTGAATCCGTTGTGGTATGGTGTTGGATTGTCATCCATTCTTGCACAGACATTACACAAGGTGCTTAGAAGAAGTGGTATGAAGCGCAGGCCCAACGCACAAGCGTAGATGCGTTATCGACAGCCATGTTTAGACTGTGCGACGATGCATCGTTCAGGCCTCCGCGTTGCGCGACTTGGTGAGTCCGTTGTGGTATGGTGTTGGATTGTCATCCATTCTTGCACAGACATTACACAAGGTGCTTAGAAGGAGTGGTATGAGGCACAGGCCCAACGCACAAGCGTAGATGCGTTACCGACAGCCATCCATTCTTGGATATTCGTTCTTCACGGTGCGGCACGATATATGTATTTGCTCCAAGCACCAATCATACGTTACGGCATGGAGTTACCGGGTAGTTCCCGTATCGTTATCGAGTAAGGATTGTTCAAGAACAGTCCCAAGGATATGAATGTTTACTATTTATGAATGATATGAGTTTCTTGTTAAGTTGTAACTGTACATATGCATTTCCAGGTTTGTTTGACGCCTCTGTAGCTCACCTACGTAATTCCGATTTTGAGGCTATATCGATTCGCGACACAATCAGAGATCCAAACGGATCTCTTCCCGCTCTTCCTCATCCTCCTCGACTCTCACGCACAGTTCATAAACACTTGTTCTAGACTCAATAGGCACGTCCTTCTCGCCTTGCTTGCGAATCACACACACGACCATGAGACTTAAGATCCAGTGCATCTCCCCTGGCCACGTCGTGGTCGCTGTAAACGGGGGCGACACGCCTTGTAGGGAAGACGGCCCGTGCTATGGGCGGTCTGTATCGTGCCTGGTAACGACCACGCGGCTCGACAACGTTAGCCAGTCATATACATTAGCGCGTGCGTCAAGTGCCAGTCGTGCAGTGATACAAGCCGCCCACCACAGTGCGCGCATTGGCGATGATCGTGTAGCTGTCACAGACTTCTTGAACGGGGTAGTTAATGCGTTCACAAGCTTCATCACGGGTAGTAGCTTCATAGGCCAGGTCTCGACTCTACAACGGATCCGTAACTGATGGGCTCTTTACCAGGCGTCGTTTGCGAGTTCTGCAACAGATGGTTCCCCAACGCCCAAGTTTATGGCGGTCATAAGTCACGGCGGACCCCTTGCCAAGGACTATCCGCCGTGGCGAGGCCCACGCGATCTGCACCGACCGCCGGTCTTCACGCTTTGCTATTCGTCCACGACATTCTGTCGGACGCTCCAGCCGCTCCCGGTTCACCTACAGCGTCTAACGCATCCAACGCCGTCAGTGTGAGCCGACCTCCACGCGTTCCTGATGCTCACGTTGACGAAACTCCCAACGACGTGAACGAGGGGCCTCCTGAAGATGAACATCAACCACGGCATGGAGCTCCTGCGGCTGAGACGACTGACCATCCTGAGAGCCGGCCCGAAGGGAGTCATGCCGCGCCGCCAACCGTCATCTCCGGACAGAGCAATGCCATGCCCCTCAATCCGCTCGCGTTGAAGCTACTGCATTTCGTCCGGCGCGTGAATGGCGGAATGGGAATGGCCGAGGTTGACATCAACGGCCTGCTTCAGCTAGTCGTAGAGCCCGGCCTTGCGCCTCTTGTGAACTCGGAGCTCCGGAACTGTAAGGATCTGGAGCGGTTCGAGTTGGAGCGCTTGGCAGGGCTCAATCGCGGATGGTCGGTGGCGACCTTCGAGATTGACGGTCATCCACCACAGCGCTTGCTCTTCCAGAACTCAGCCCAGGTAAGCCGACTTTGCATTCAAGGCCGTGAAATGATGATGAGGCACACAGGGTTTGCATGTACTTAGTTATCCTTGTATTAACCGTACACCCACCTTCTCCGCCACGAACCATGCCTCTCCTCTCACCTGCTTTCGCCACCGTACACCAGGCATTCGCTGAAATGTTTGGACATCCCAACAACGCGCCCGGCTTCAAGCTCAAGGCGCGTGTAGATGAGGACCCTGACGCAGGCGGCCGTCGCTATACCACGCCCGAAACAGGAACGTGGTGGAATGATGCTCAGGTAAGGAAAGACCACGTTGCCACCCCAAACCCAATCCTGAGTCATGCATCCATCGCAGCACTGATCTCTCAAGAGCATCTTGAGTGTTAAACCGTGTGTCCGTTACCGCTTTGTCGTGCACTGCAGGAACACTTCGGTTGGTCCGAAGTTGTGGGGGGGATCATCTTATATTCGGATGTGACGCACATGAGCAACAACGGCCGGAAAAAGGCGTGGCCGCTCATGATGACGCTGGCGAACATCGCCCAGGCCAAGCGATGGGGGAAAGCCGGTCACACACTACTTGCCCTCCTTCCAATCCCCCCATCTGCAATGTCTGCCGTGGAGAAGGTGATGCTCTTCCAGCGTTGCGTCATCACCGTGCTGCAGCCGCTTCTTGATGGCATCGCCAGGTCCGTACTCGGTTTGCATCTTGCTAAGACATCATGTCACCACCTGCATGGTATGCAAACCCTCTCTGTATGTAGCATGGCCCTTTGCCCCTCGTCGTTCCTCCCTAAAAGCCGCAACCTTGAATGCCTGTTGCCACTCACTCCATTCCTTGCAGCGGGTTCCGTCTCAGGGACCCTTTCGGAGATTGGCAAACCGTGCGACCCCTGCTGTACGCCTGGGTGTGCGACTACCCCGAGAGCGGCAAAATCAGTTGCACACTCTCGCATGGATCGCGGATGCCGTGCAGCATCTGCTATGCTGCAAAGGTGAGGTCACAAGCCATCTGCATGCATTCAATTACATTCCCGTTTGTGGCTCGCCTGAGCGAACCCACATAGCTACCACCCTTACCTTTTCTATCCCATCCCTCGGCCCCGTGCTACAACAGGAGCATCTGAGTGCTGTCAAGGCACGGAACACGCCGCGCACGCCTGAACAGCAGCAATGGATCGTTAACGAGGCGGCGGGGACGACAACTAGCCAGGACAACCCGTGCAAGGCCTACTCTACCTACCCTGTTGAGGTGAGTGACCTGTTTCCCCGGCCCATGAGTAGTCTATGCTCTCGCCCGCCCCGTCATGAATTGCCAGATGTGCTCTGCCCCATTGAACTCACCCGACCTGTGGTTTAGATTACCTATCCACTCTCACGTACATCTCTCCTCCATTCCCCACCACATCCCCATTTCCAGTGCGTGCTCTGGAAGTGGGATGTCCCAGGGACCGCGTGGGGCAATCCCTACCTCGTGGTGATGCCTGACATCATGCACCAGGCGGACCTAGGCATCATGAGCCACATTGTGGCTGTCTTGCGCAAGATGAAGAAGCGGCGTGTGAAGCAGATGGACAGGTCAGTGTTTTGGGGATTGGATTCGTTGCTCCTGGTCACAATTACTCAAACCATAAGTTCTGTCCTATTACTGACCTGTTTCTGCCCTTTTGGCGCGGCTGAACTGATGTGTATGGGCAGGCGCCTGTCTCTCATTCGCGACCGCACGCGCCTGAATCACATGCGCCTGCCGGAGAGCGCCTACTTCGAGACCGGCGCATGTGTGGCGGCCTATGAGCACAGGGCTGTCATGCAGGTATGAACCCTCCATTCCCTGTTGCTTGTCCTGGCCTAAACCCTCAAGCAGTCTGCTCATGCTGCCATTGTCCGTCATGCTCCACTCCTCACACCATCTGTGCTCACCCTCCCCTTTGCTGCTATCCACGTTCTTTGCAGGTCATGGTGTTTGTTTTTGCAGGTCTGCTTCGCCAGCCCCAGATGGATGCCGTTCGTGCCTATCTTGGCTGGTACATCCTGTGCTCCCAGCCACAGGGGCACACTGAGCGGTCCCTCCGGGAGCTGAAGAAGATGACCTCTCGGTAATAATATCACGCATGTAAATCCCTGTGCATGGGATGTATGCTTGGCTACTGTAAATGTGCTCTTGTAGTAGGCAATCTTGTGAGGATGTTGCTGCTAAACTTTGATGAAAAGGATCAGGAATAGGAAAAGCATATGAATAAGTAGACTCTGTGAATGCATGTGTTGTCATCTCCCACTCCCATCAGGCTCGTTGAGCAGTTGCAGGCTGCGTTTCCAAAGCAGCCATCCTCTTGGTGCCTTGTGAAAACACATCTCATGTCGCACTACATCGACTCCATACGTCGGGCGGGTCATGTGACTGAATTCAGCACCAACATGTTCGAGCACTTGCACGGACCGTTGGTAAAGAGGATCTACCGTCGGTCCAACAAGCGCAATGTAGATGGGCAGATCATGAAGTTCCATGCTAGGCGCATTCCGGATGTGGTGCCGGTGGATGATCCTGCCGGTCGGGACACCGCCATGCGGCAGGTAAATCTGTTTAGTGCTTGAATTGCATGGATATGAATGCAGAATGTAATAATATCAATAGCATATGTTGGCAGGCGATTGAGACCGACACACGGACGCTCATCAAGGAGTCATACTCCCTCCCTGTGGAGTTGTCACAAGAATCCACCTCTACCAACTGGTTTGCAAGGAAGTGGGCCAAGCAACACCCTCGTGCCCAAGCTGCCCTCAAGGATGCTCTTATGCGTTATGCAGGATGCGTCACCACCATTCGAGTAAGTAGTTGCAAGTTTATGCAATCAACCATCATTTTGGCTGGCTCGTATCATACATGACTAACATCAACTGCTATGCAGGCCCATGCATCGCTGGCAATCCCTGTAGCAGACGACGCCAGCTTCTCAAGAGTGTCTCACTTCGTTCGAGCGACCCCTGACTATTTTGAGAAGCCATGGTACTCGGATGTTGCAGTGGAGGGTGTAAGGTATGGTCGGAGAGAGGAGTGGTATGCAAGGTTGCTTCTGTTGTTCCATACCAAAATACGTGGAGAGAGGGAGGAGCTGGCTTACGTTAGATATTGGAATGCAAGCGGAGAGGATACAGCAACAGGATGCCTTCGCCTCAAGTGGACGACAGGAATGTACGCGTACTCCGTGATTCCCATTGAAGCGCTGCTCCGCCACGTCCATGTGGTGAAGGCATTCCATCTGGACAGTACCTATCTCCTTAATAAGTATCAAATGTGATGCATTTATCTTGTAATAACATGGCCAGCATATTTTCATGCAGTCACATTTCAGGGAAGTCAAAGCTTACAAAACCAGTTACAAATTCAAAACAAAATTGGCAAGCTTAAAAAAACCGGCAATGTACCGGAGTCGCGGATTCGATTTCGACTTCGACAAACAAACGCGGTCCGAATTCATTCCGTGATTGGTCGCGATCTGGCTTCGGAACTTCGCCAACCAAAACACCTGAACTGTACCCCCCTTCGAACCCCCTTCAAAAATCAAGGTTTTTTGTGATGTATATATCACCCTATTGCTCCTCAGTCGTCTGTCTCTACTCTTGTCGTTGTTGTACCGTAGCTGCCTTTGCCTCCACCAAATGCCTTGACTACGGTACTCAGTCGGTCTCTATTCCTCCACGTCCTCCGTACGTCGAGGGTGCTCTTTCCCTTCCAGTGACGTCCTAGAAGACAGGAAGTTTGAGCTCGCTTTCCTTGCGGCCGATGCTCCTCACCTCTCTGCCATGCTGCTAGCCCCTGAGGGTGACCAAGACCTGCTTGCTGCTGGGGCCGACTCCACCAGATTGCCCGCCTTGCTGCTTCCACTGGCTGCACACTCTCCCCATTAGAAGTTAAAATTTCTCGTATCATGTGCCTGTCGAATATCACTCATGGGTCCTACATGGATGGTTGGAGGCGAAGCAATGTTGTTAGACACGAAACTACCGTATAATGTACCCCACAAAGAATTGTTTCACCTTTCGCGTTACAAACAGGAGTTTGCACCAGTTTGGCATTGCACCGAAATATATAAAACTGGAAAATGGGGTATTGACATACAGTATAAACTTGAGAGAAGTGCATCGGTACAACCCCCTCATCATAATATTTGCTCATTGCACAAAGGCGAGCTTCCTCTACGAGGTACGGCCTGTACGGGGACGGACCATAGCCATATAGAAGCCGCTAAAGCGTAATGCTGCTACTAATAAGACTTGACTGCTGATGCTGCTGCTGCTGCTGCTGCTGTAGGTGCGTGGCTCTGAAAAATGGTCCACGAGGTGGATGGGTGTGGGTATGCTGCTATTGCTTGTGCTGCTTGGCTAGGGGAGTTCTCCATGAGGTGGATGTGTGTGGGTAAGGTCTCCTGCTGCTGCTGCTGCTGCTGCTGCTGCTGCTGCTGCTGCTGCTGCTGCTGCTGCTGCTGCTGCTGGCTGCTGCTGCTGCTGCTGCTGCTGCTGCTGCTGCTGCTGCTGCTGCTGCTGCTGCTGCTGCTGCTGCTGCTGCTGCTGCTGCTGCTGCTGCTGCTGCTGCTGCTGCTGCTGCTGCTGCTGCTGCTGCTGCTGCTGCTGCTGCTGCTGCTGCTGCTGCTGCTGCTGCTGCTGCTGCTGCTGCTGCTGCTGCTGCTGCTGCTGCTGCTGCTGCTGCTGCTGCTGCTGCTGCTGCTGCTGCTGCTGCTGCTGCTGCTGCTGCTGCTGCTGCTGCTGCTGCTGCTGCTGCTGCTGCTGCTGCTGCTGCTGCTGCTGCTGCTGCTGCTGCTGCTGCTGCTGCTGCTGCTGCTGCTGCTGCTGCTGCTGCTGCTGCTGCAGCTGCTGCTTATGCATGGATACAATGACTTGACCATGAGGTGGATGGGTTTTCGCAATGCTCTATGTGTGAGTGCGGTTTGGTGCTACCATGGCTGCTCTGCTACCATGGCGGGAGGGCTACGAGGACTTGTCCATGAGGTGGATGGGAGCAAGCACATTGAGCTTGTTGGTGTCCATGACGCAGCCGTTCATGACCATCTCGTCCAGCATGAAGTACGCCTTCTCCAGGTGGAACATGATGTCCAGCTCGCACTGCCATGGGGCAGAGGGGGAGGGGGAGAGACAAGTGGAACATTATGTCCAGCTCGCACTGCCATGGGGCAGAGAGGGAGGGGGAGAGACAGGTGGAACATTATGTCCAGCTCGCACTGCCATGGGGCAGAGGGGGAGGGGGAGAGACAGGTGGAACATTATGTCCAGCTCCCACTGCCATGGGGCAGAGGGGGAGGGGGAGAGACAGGTGGAACATTATGTCCAGCTCCCACTGCCATGGGGCAGAGGGGGAGGGGGAGAGACAGGTGGAACATTATGTCCAGCTCGCACTGCCATGGGGCAGAGGGGGAGGGGGAGAGACAGGTGGAACATGATGTCCAGCTCGCACTGTTGAGGGGCAGGGATGGTCAGAGGGAACATGATGATAGCTCGCACTGTGTGATAGGTAGGGGATGAACGGAAGGATGGTCAGAGGGAGCATGATGATAGCTCGCATTGTGTGATAGGTTGGGGATGAAGGGGCGGATGGTGACAGGGAACATGATGATAGCTATAGCAGAGCAGCATAGGTTGGGCATGAGGACAGGAACACGCGTATCTGGACATGGGCATGTGGGGAAGACAGACATGGGCGCGTGGGGAAGACAGACATGGGCGCGTGGGGAAGACAGACATGGGCGCGTGGGGAAGACAGACATGGGCATGTGGGGACAAGACATGAACTCGACACAACGACGTCGAACTTGTGACGGTTTTGAGCCACCTCAAACGACAGACATGAAGTCACATCCGAAGATGGAGAAGGGACAACGTGAAACATGCTACCACTCGCGCTGCAAATACGGGTGAGGCGGGGAAGAGCAGACGAGAGGAGGCCACGGGAAGAGCAGAAGCGACAGAGGAAGCAAGGGGGAGACAGATGCCTTTCAACAAGGAGGGGGTGCAAGGGGGTGAGCATGCAGTGCAGTGCAGTGTGACTGACCACGTTGCCGAAGTATCGGTCCATGGTCTCGACGATGCAGTGGATGAACTCCAGTATTGCCAGCTCGTTCTGCCCGCCGCATCGTTGCATGGCGGCATGGGCGACGGCGGGACGAAGGGCAAGGGAGGAGGGGGAAAGGGGGAGTGGGGACGGGCAGGGGGGGGAGGGAGCGAGAAGGGGGAGAAGAATTGAGAGATTGCAAGGCAGAGGTGGACGTGGAGGGGTAGAGGGGGAGGTTGAGATTGGAGAGGCAAAAAAAGGGATTGCAGTAACAGCAGTATGATGATTTGGAATCGAACAGGGGGACATAAACGGGTGAAGATGGGGATGGAGGCAGTCTTACCTCTTCGCCATCCACGCCCACGAGGAAGAAGAGCGATGCATAGCGCCGGTAAATCACCTTGTAGTTGCGGTGCTCCACAAACGAGCACTGCACAAACGAGCATAAACTCAACATATTAGCAGACAGAATAGTTATCCCGTTGAAGCCCGGTTTCATGAGACCCGGGTTTTGACATCTCCCCTTACTCCACCTCCGCATCCTCCTCTGGAACTTCCCCAGGCCTAACCTGCCGGAGACTACTACCTCCTCGCCCTTCGAAAAGTTTGTCTTTCCACCCTATGAGCTACTCCCCTCTCATCACCCACCTCCCGGTCGCACCTAGGTTATGCCTTTGGCAACGCCTGCCGCGTCAAGACTCGAATGGCATCCACCATATACCGCGTCGATGCTACTCCCCCCGCATTCCCCACCTCCCCAGCATCCAACCTCCCCGGGGAACCACCTGCTGCTCGGATCGCGCGAGGCACTTGCGCACAATCTCTCCCTCCAACGCGCGCCGCTCCTCGAGGCGCATGTACTCGTAATACTGCGCGACGCGGGTCTGGCCCTGCTTGTTGACCAATAGTATGAAGCGGATCGTCATGGTACGACCCTATTCACTGAATAAAATTTCGTGCTTCAGAAAGATACCCTCGCTACCCTCTGCTATCGTGAGAGTTGTGAGCGGGTTTTTTAGCTATTTCCATGAGTAGGGCGTGGCACATCTACTGACTGTCCGGTGCGAAGCAAGGTCTGTTCAGAAATTTGAAGGGTAACAGTTTTAGTTAGGCTTCGCGAAAGACCCCGTTCCGGGTTTTGGGACATCGCCATCGTCCGGAACCTAGTTGGAACATTGGGACGTTTGAATTGCGTTGGCGGTACGAACGGTCGGGTTTTCCAGTTTGGAACTCAGATGTACAGTGACCGCGCGATTGCTGTATGCGAATTGGTTCAGATTATTAGGGCGTATCTTTGGTTCCGGTCATGAGCACTGTTCATTAGACAGCGTCACTACGACAATGACGCCGACACTGACGTCAGCGACGACGATCTCGAAGAGATCGTCTCGGAATCAGACAGCGAAGCCGATTCCGACAACTACAAGGATGGGAGCGACGACGACGGCCAGGATGAGGATGGCGGCGAAGAGGCAAGCGGCTAGAGATACAACACGCTGCCAGGAGGTGAGGAGGTGCTCATGCCATAGGTGTAAGGCCACACACAGGATGAGAACCTGTGCGCTGACCATGGTTTATGGCCGCGCTGTAACAGCCGAGAGGACGCGCTTAACGCATTAAGAGCTGTGGCCGGTCGCATTCGGTTCATCACTGGGGCGCGCAATTGCTGGGAGCGCGTTTGTTGTGGGCGACTTGGCGTGGAGCGGCTGGTTGCTTGTATATGGGGATCCTTTGCGTAGCGCTCAATCTTTGTGGAGTCGTGTTGTGACTCTGTAAAAAGTGTCACACAATTGTTACGGGTTTTTTTTACAAGTTTGGGAGGTGCACATTTGACATTGACGGGCGTGAGTCAACTGAAGACGGTCGTCTACAGAGTGGTCTGCACATGGGGTCGCAGTGCATTCTGATTGGTCGGGGGAACATTTTGACTGACGGTCGCATGCAGAGGGATGGATGACCCGAAGTTCGGACCGCGCGCGCCTCGACGCCCCACTTTGGGTCATGCGCTAATTACGGATGCTCCAAACAGTAGAATGAACAGTGCTCATGACCGGAACCAAAGATACGCCCTTAGAACTATCTCTAAGCAATTCCAAGCCCATTAGATGGGAAGCGAAACGAGTCATCGAATGACGTGCGAAAATGACAACGAACCAGCATTCACCGAACCAGGCCCTCGATGGCGACATTCAGTCACAAGGTCACAGGAACAGCAGTGACAACAGCCATACACAGCCGCTATCGTGTGGTGGACCTCAAAGTCAGCGCCTTCGGCGATTGCCAACCCTAAGCATTCACTGAAATTGATGCCAAAGTGAACCATTCCTTCAACCCCGACTGGATTTCACAGTTCCACTTTTTCCGATGGTGGCACTCGATCTCACTCATTCCGCAAACTCCGCCGGACCTCTCATCAGTGCTGCTGCTGGCAGCACACACGCGATTTCTTACACGACGCGTCGCGCCGTTGGTCAGCGTTCACCCCGCCTTCACGTACCTTCGAATTTCCCGGGAACTTCTGTTTCATTGCAGATTCGCGAAGGTTCCAGGAAGTTTGATCGTATGGCGGGCCGCCTTGCTTCGTTTAGACCCTTTGGATTGGTGTGCGCGAGAATCGCGTCGCGGGCGTCATCCCCGTTATTGAATTGCTCGTTTGCCACCCTGAAACCATCGGCGCGTGCGTCGTCACAGTCGTGGGACGAGCTGAGCCAACCCGTGAGTGAAGCGCGCCGAGCAGCCACCACCCACCTTATCGTCTTCCGGGAATGGGATGCCTCCACCCTCCAGATTCCACATCCCTTTGTTCTTCTCCTTTCCACTCCTCTCCTACTCTTCCTCCTCTCCTCTCCTTCCCCGCTTCTTCCCCTTTGCCTGTCACCATCGAGTCTCTCCCCCACTCCTCCCCCCTCTTTCTCTTCCTTCTTTCCCCTGTCGCAACCCCCTCCGACAGACAGGCGAGTGGCAGAGCACGCTGGGAGCGCCAGTAGCGGTGTCGGGCGTGGGGCTGCATCTGGGCCTTCCCACCACCGTTACGCTGCTGCCCGCCCCTGCTGCCTCGGGTCGGGTCTTCCACGTGGTGCTTGGGGGGGATGGCGGAGGGGGAGAGGTGGACAGGGTTGCAACAGGAGCTGGGAGGGAAGGGAGAGTGGTGGAGATCGGTGCAGATGTGTGGAGTGTGGTGGACACGCGGCTCTGCACTGTGCTGGCTGCTGCTTCCGCTACCCCGTCCAGTCCGCCCTCCTCCCCTGACGAGTCGCCAGCGGGTGGGGAACGTGAACAGAGTGAAGTGCGGTTGGGAACGGTGGAACATCTTCTGTCGGCTCTAGAGGGGTGTGGCGTGGACAACTGTGTGATTCGCGTGGAGGGCGCTGGCGAGGTGAGGTGAGGTGAGGTGAGGTGAGGTGAGGTGAGGTGAGGTGAGGCCAGAGCAGGGAGACACGTTGCCGGGTTATAAACGTGGGCTGGTGAGACACGTAAGCAGATGAGACACGTAAGCAGATGAGACACGTAAGCAGATGAGACACGTAAGCAGGGTAAGAGGCACAAGAGCGGGTAAGAGCGCGGCACCTGCAGGGCGCACTTGTGGCATTCTGAGACGAGCTCTCAAACCCCACCCTCTCAAACCCCACCCGCCCCTGCCCTCAGATGCCACTTCTGGACGGATCAGCAGCGGAGTGGGTTGAACACATCATGGCGGCCGGCATCCACCCCGCCACCCTGCACCGCTCCAACGGCACCACAGGCCATGCTGCTACCGGCGATGCTGGTGCTGCTGCTAATGATGCTGTGACTGTGGAGAGGAGAAGGTGGAATTTGCCTGGAAACCAGCCAATCACGGTGCAGCATGGGGATTCGTTCATCGCTGCATTCCCCCGAGCTTCACCGCTTCTCACCTATGGCATTGATTTTCCACATGTGAGGCGTTGACTTGTCACATGTGAGGCGTTGACTTGTCACATGTGAGGCGTTGACTTGCCACATGTGAGGCGTTGACTTGTCACATGTGAGGCGTTGACTTGTCACATGTGAGGCGTTGACTTGTCACATGTGAGGCGTTGACTTGCCACATGTGAGGCGTTGACTTGTCACATGTGAGGCGTTGACTTGTCACATGTGAGGCGTTGACTTGTCACATGTGAGGCGTTGACTTGCCACACCACAGCAGTCACACATGCTGGAGTTTTCATCCCCATTCTGATACGTTTTTTTGGCTTGGTTGTTTTGTTTCGCTGCACAAGCGTCCCCAATGTTCCTACTCCGTTCCCCGGGCTGTGTATCTATCTCTAAAGGGAGGGCAATCCGTGCCTCTTAGACTAATCCCCTCGCTTGCACAACCTTAGTTGCAATTACCATCCGCTCTCACTCGTTGGTGTAGCTTGAGGTTTTTGCAAGTGTCCCCATTGACTCGAATCTGCTGACCTATTCATCAAGATTTTGCAACTTCTGTGGCATAGACATTCAATCCATTGAAGCGTTGACCCCATTGTCCCCGTTGACTCACTCAACTCCATGCACGCTCACAGGTGCCGGCCATCGGGCGGCAGTGGGTGTCGTGGGAGCCGTGCCGCTCACAGCAACCAGCACAAGCGCGAGCAGCAGAGCGACGCCAGGGCGGAGGAGAGGAACCAGGTGGAGCAGCAGAGCAGCCAGTGGGGGCAGCAGCGCAGGGCGAGCATGGCGAGCATGGAGAGCAGGGTCAGGAGTGTGGCGACTATGTGTCGGGCATTGCGCCGGCGCGCACCTTCTGCATTCTCGAACAGGTACAGAGAGCAACTTTGAAGAGCTTGCTCTCGAGACTGGTGGGCTCATCAGGAACATCACCAGTGTATACCAACGAGAGTAAGGGAAACTCGTTCGTTGGGGCGTTTGGTTATTATTAACGCGGTAGTGATGTTCATAGCAATTTGGAATCATGTCAGCATGTTCATGATTTATGTCTCACGCACGTTATGGTTACTTTAGCACGTTGATATATAAAGGCAACGGTGGCACATGAGAGCATCCTCGAAAGGGTTAGCTCATCAATGGAACGGAAGCTTACTGAATTTCTGCAGTCTTTTCTGCCCCTGAATCTTCCTACATCCCTCACCCTGTCTCTGTTGCGCCACTCACTTCTCACCAACTGGTGGAGCACATGAGAGGAGAGGAGAAGGGTTCACGAGGGATGCCTCACTCAACCATGCTCTCTCCTCCCTCCACTTCCTTTCACTCCTGCTGCTCGCCTCCCTACCGCCTTTTTGCCGCATCTCGCCGCAGGTGGAGCAGATGCGAGCAGCGGGGCTCATCAGGGGTGGCTCGCTCGACAATGCCCTCGTGTGCAGGTGAGCCTCGACAATGCCCTCGTGTGCAGGTGAGCGTGGGGGAGGTATCACTGCTACGCAGGTGCCATCCAGGGAGGAAGGAGGCGTAGGTGAGCCTGGGGGCGGTGCCATGCAGGTGAGCCTGGGGGCGGTGCCATGCAGGTGAGCCTGGGGGCGGTGCCATGCAGGTGAGCCTGGGGGCGGTGCCATGCAGGTGACCATATGTACGGCTGCGTAGTTGGAAGTTGGACGAGGCTTGAGGTCTGCGAGTGAATGGGAGGAGGAGGAAGGGCAGAGCATGGCAGCATGCACTAGGATCTAGGTAAGGCAGTGCTGTCCGGCCGTGCCATCTTCCATGCACCTGCCTTCTCACCTGTTGTCATCAAAGCGTGGCCATTTTCCCATCATTTCCTGTTCCTTTCGTGCACCCTCCTTACTGCCCGTCCCTTGTGGCTCAATCACTCCCCTCTCAATCGTTGTGGCGAGTGCCTCTTTCTGCCCTCAATCCCTCCCTCTAAGTTGGAGTATACGCTCAGAGCCTCAAGCGTATCGCGTTTATACGCTTGCGTTTTAACGCTATACGCAAAACGCTAGGGAATACGCAATACGCAGTCAGAAAAGTTTTAGGGCTGCCCGAAAAAAAAATCGCGGAATAGGTGCGGAATTTCTTCGTGAGCGCGAAATGCTAATCGGTGGTCTAGGCAAGCGGAAATGTGACTTCGAAGTTGGGAGGCATGTCTGGGAATCGAAATGTTGAATCTCATATTAGTACCGCACTGGAACCCTTAACATCTACGAACTCCAACCTGTCCAGAACCACCCCCCCAACAAACCCCACGCTGCTTACCAGCCAGTCAGCCCTAATCTCAACATTTCTACATTTCGTTTCATCTCGATCTCGCCGACTTCATACTTCTCAACGAGTATGACTAGACTGCGGGCACCAACTTCGTGCTTTGCACCTCGCCCATCCCCCGCTAAAGACCTAACAACTGCCCGGGAAAAAAATTTAGGTGCCCGGGCCTGCGTATTCACTGCGTACAGGAAGCCTCCCAAGAAGCGTTCAGCGTTTATACGCTAGCGGATAAACGCTAGCGTATGAAACGCGAAACGCGTATATTCCAACTAAGCCCTCCCTTTCCCACTCCGGCTCTCCCTTGCCCTCTTCCTTTGCCCTCTTCCTTTACCCTTTCCCCTTGCCCCTCTGCCTCTCTCCTCCTGTTTCTCTCGTCCCTCGCCTTCCCCTGGTCCCCACTGCAGCCAAGCGCGAGGGTGGGTGAACCCACCTTTGAGACTCCCTCTGGAGCCGTGCCGCCACAAGCTGCTGGATCTCATAGGGGACCTGGCGCTGTGTGCCAGGGGGGGCAACGCCGGCATTCCCAACGCACACATAGTGGCCTATAAAGTGAGTGCAGAGCCTTGGCACCAATGCACGTGCCTGTTGATGTTTGTCTCTGTGCCCTACAGGGCCCCACTTTCTAAACTCGCCCCCACAACCCTCTCTCTCCCTCGTCTCCTCCGCCGTTCCCGTCTCCCCCGTCCATGAGCAGGCGAGCCATGCTCTGCACGTGGCGTTTGGTAAGGCACTTATGGGCGCACTCGAGGCAGAGGCCAAGGGGCGTGGCGGGGCTGGGTAGCGAGTGATACAGCAAGGAGTTAACAGTTTCTTCTTGATGGTCGCCATGCTGCAGTCGCAAATGGATCCAACAACGTGCAATAAGCTTTCTGGGAGCAACCCCAGGAAGGCTACCGTAAAACCAAGCCTATGCTAATGAAGAGGACACCGCTGGCACAAATAAACCTTGGTACGCTGGCTGATTCGGAAAGCTCTGATGAGCCCAAAGTTAAGCACACTATGTAGCAAAATTGGAGAAGTGAATTTGCAGTGCTTTGCAATGCTGCGCTGCATCCTCTATTGGTACAGAACAGATGGTTTAGCTGCCATGTTTCTGGGTGCTGGACCCTACATCCTACACAGTACACCTTACATTCTGTTGGAAACAATAAGTCCTAAGTGCGCTTCTGTCGTATCAAAACCCAAGGCACCAAGCGAAGCAGCCCCAATCGAAGCATCGAGTCAACCTCGGAGGTTAGGGTAACCGCCTGGAGGTTACGAGAAAGTCAAAGGTCGCTGACCTTTGACTCAACAATTACAGCGCGACAGTTAAGGACACACAACTGACTCGTTACAGAGCAGTTGCCCGAGTCGCACTGTATCGAACCGCAACAGCAACACAGTTATCTACATATCTATTCGTATTCCCTGTACTCTTATATAAATCCTTGTATTTGCTTGTTTAATTCAATCAACTTTGCTCTCACACACCAGTGCAAGGTCGGTTCAAATTCTTCACTAAACGCTTCCGCTATTACAACTACTTCACCTAGAGTTATCCCTTGCAAAGATCCTAAGGGGCTATCTCAGCCCAACATGGTATGAGAGCTGACAAGGGAAACTCTACTCCTTTTTCAAGATCATTACAAGACATGGCAACAAACAAGGAAAGGAGCTCCCCTAATGGCTCCTCGGGCACTACTCCTACTCCACCGCCAGCCTCTGGCCTGCAGACAGAAGAAGGCACGGCAACAAGACCAAGAGGAACGTCAACCGAAACCCCCATGAACCACCCTTCGGACTTTGACCAGAACATGATGGAGAAATTTTTCTCCTTCATGTCCTTCTACGAACAACACCAGCAGTCGGGACCTGCACAAACACACAACAGCAACAACGGAGCGACACCCATGAGTCTTGATGGGTCGTCATATGCGCGAGGAAACCAGCAGCAGCAACCTACCTTTGCTCCGTACGAGCGCGGGTCAATCAGCTTCGTGCCCCACCCGCAACCTTCACCTGGACAAGAAAGACCACTGGACGCACTTCAAGTTCAGTCGCAGTTTGCACACGTCTTAAAACTGCAAACGTCAAGACCCTTCGACGGCAAAGACTTCTTTACCTGGTCCTTTGAATTCGAGCTGATGATGGAGGGCGCGTAGATACTCGGCTTCTTCGACGGGTCCCTGCAGTATCCAGCCAACGGGACACAATATGAAAAGCAGCAGTATACGTATCAATCAATGATGGCGTATACAATCCTATTGAGGAACGTGACACCAACTCAGCAGCAGAACATTCGCTCTTACCGGACCTTCGGCAACTCGGCGGAGCTCGCGTACAGCCATCTGAAGAACCCGTATCAAGCAACAGACAGTGTAAACCAGAGCAGGTTAATGGCGCAGTTGACGACAGTCGAAATGAAACCAGGAGAAAAAGGACTAGCGTATATCAGCCGATGTCGCGAACTGCGCGACAAGCTGCTTCGATGCGGAGGGTCAATCTCTGAAGACGCCTTCGTGACAATCATTATTGGTGGGCTTGGTCCTCAGTGGCGCGCCACCAAAGCCATTCTTCGAGCCCACGGAAGAATCTCTGAAGTTGCACTCTGCGCCGAAATACATGCCGAGCAGCAAGATATGGACCTGCAGGAAGAACGACACAGGAAGAAAACGACAGTATCAGAGTTCGCATTCCACACTCAACGACGACACAGCAATTATAACAACCGACAGCAGCAACCGAAGATAGTACCTCCTTTCTGCCACATCTGCAAGACTTCAGGGCACCCGCGCACACACTGCCCGAACCGTCAGCAATCAACGGCACCACAGCGACAACTTCGACCTTCAAGCTCCCAAATGGCTTCAACACAAGCAAGTGCGACGACCACTATTCAAGCTTCAACGACTTCACCCGGACAACCTGCACGAGGAGCAAGAAATATAATCAACTGCATGACGAAGATAACCGATTCGTGTACAACCGAATCACCACCACACTACTCACCGGAAGAAGAGCTTGACAACAGAACGCCTCGCCGTGAGCTACTCCAGCCGAATCCAACGTACGCCGCCATCGCTCAAAGTGAACCGTCCGGCCAAGACACCTGGTTCTTGGACAGTTGCTGCGGGCAACACATGTGCTCGTCCGGGCGTTTCGTACAACGCGAACATCGACTCCAACGGGAAGTAATCATCACGGTTGCCAACAACCAAAACCTGCGCACACGAAGACAAGGAGTGGTACAGCTTCAGTCAAGAGAAACAAACGTCATACTGCACATGTCTAAGGTACTCATCGCTGAAGGACTCGGCTACAACTTACTGAGCGTTAGCCAGTTGATGGCGAAAGGAATTCATCTGGAAGCTGACAGCACGACCCAGGAGTTCAAGCTTTACCATGGGAGAGGCGGTCTCTACATCGGAAAAGCAGTGCTGAAGAACAACGTCTTCGTCCTCGACTTCGTTCCTGACCTCGGCACTGCAGACAGCGACGCCATCGTGAATTTCACTGACTGGACACACCCTCCGGATCTCGACCCCGACTTCAGCCCGGGAGGCTTCTGGTACTCGCACACCATTCCTGAAGCAGAACGAACACGAGCATTAGCAACAATTCGACAATCGGCAGCAGTAACAACATCGACATCAGCAACAACAACATCGGCAGCAGTAACAACATCGGCAGCAGCAACAACATCAGCAGCAGCAGAAACAACGACACCAGTCACAATCGACGAAACACCACCAACACCCGCGCAACAGCTGAATCCGACTCAACGTGAAGTCCACCGAAGCGCCAACCTCGTCACCAGTTTTTACTCCAACTCCGACGCATATCAGCGTTCACCTGGACACCGCGCCTCTGAAGAGATCTGGCACGCACGAACAGGACATCCAAGCAACACGGTTTTGAATAACACGATAAGAGCAGGAGTCCTTGACAAAGATTCTCTACTTCTACCCGATGGCAGAGAACTCCAGAAGGCACGAGGGACTTGCCTTATATGTCCCGAAGCTGACTTACCTCATCGACCGTTTGCTTCACATCACAACCCGAGCGCTCCAGCGTACGCACCACTCGAAAAAGTCTACAGCGACATCCTCTACAATCGCGAACCAGGACAAGTCAACTACAACTACACCATCACCTTCATCGACGCCGCCACTCGATACGTCTGGCATCGCAACCTACCCAGCCGCGACATGGCGCTCGCAGCATTCGCCGCCTGGCTACCGATAGCAGAGAGAGAGTCTGGAACACAACTGAAAAATTTCCAGTCAGACGGAGGTGGCGAGTACACCTCTCACCGCTTCAAGCAGTTCTTGGCGGAAAGGGGGATCAAGCAACTCCTCTCCCTTCCCTACGCACATCAGCAGCAAGGTGTTGCAAAACGACTGAACAGGACCCTGCAGAACAGCATGCGCAAACTGTTACGTGGCATGCGGCTACCCAACCACCAGTGGCCAGCAGCAATGGACCACGCTGTCATGCTGCACAACTTGTTGTCGTCGTCGTCACTCCCGAACAACGCATCACCGCATCTGCTGTGGACAGGGAAGCAGGGCAGCACGAAAATGTTACGAGTTTTCGGGTGCATGGTACAGTACAGACCCCCAGAAGCACGAGCGGGAAGATTTTCGCAACGGGCACAGTGGGGACTACACCTCGGCATCGAGAAAAATTACAACGCATGGAGAATCTTCGACATCCACACAAAGGAAACAGTAGCAGCACGTGACGTGATCTTCTACGAAAGACTCACCCTTCAGACGTACCTCGCTAACTTGCACGAGAATCGGGATCTCACCAGTGGTTTTCGTGGTGACCGAGCCTTCGCGTCAGCAGCGGATGAAGCAGACTGGGACGAGCAGAATGTTGACAACGCATCGGCAGAAGCCGGACCTCTCCCGTACTGCTCCGTCAACGTGCCCATGGACGAAGAAAATCCTCGCGACAGTAACAACGCTGAAGTCTTCTACCACTTCGCCGACACCGGTTACGTAACACCTGCAACCGTCAACACAAATGAAGCAGAAAGGATAGGACCGAATTTCATCCCTGATCCAGAAGCGGGAGACGAAGCAGCTTATCCCGAGGATCCAGAACTCCCTCGATACTCACAGACTGGGCTGCAAATCCTCGGCCTCGTCACCGCAGTCCACGGGAACACACGCAGCTCGCTTCCTAAGGAGCCTGCAACGGTTCAGCAGGCTCTGGGGGGGGAACACAGGGAGAAATGGCGTGAAGCCATGGATAGAGAACTGAAGGCATTAGAGGAACGCAACACTTGGAAGGTTGTTCCCGTAAGCGTGGCACGGAACAAAACCATCCTTACCGGGAAATGGGTCTTCCGCATCAAGACGAAAGCAGACGGCACAATCGAAAAATTCAAAGCACGCTGGGTCGTACGTGGATTCGACCAAGAGCAAGGACGAGACTTCACCGAGACCTTTGCTCCAGTCAGCCGCCACACGTCACTCCGAATTCTCCTCGCCATTGCCGCCATGTAGAAGAAGAAGTTACGACAGATCGACGTCGCGAATGCCTTCCTCTACGCACCTGTGGATGCAGAAATCTACGTCGAGCTCCCGCACGGTTCCCACGGCGAACCCAACCGAATCTGTCAACTACTTAAGTCGCTCTACGGGATCAAGCAGGCACCGCGACTGTGGCAGCAGTACCTGCACGCCCGTCTCATCCGCATCGGCTTTAGTCAACTACCTCACGACCAAGGCATGTACCGCCTCACTAAGGGAAGCGACTACGTTCTCCTGATCGTCTACGTGGACGATCTCC